GAGAATATCACTGTTTCTGTGTGTGCTGTTAAACCCTCTTGGAGAGAAAGCTGCAGAATGAGTTTCTTATCACAGGATATGTGTGACTATATCCCCTTCCTAAGCCACTGCTGGCCTCCCTCAGGTGTCACACACCACTTTGTCACCATCCTTTATGTGCTCTTGGTTCCTCTGCTCATTCCAGGCCATCCAGAACAGTAGCATGCTGTTTAAATCAGGCAGAGCCCAGCCTTGCAATTCCAGCTTTTGGAGGGTCCAGATCCATGTGATACTTCATTAACCTGTACTGTTACTTTGTTATCCAAAGGTCATACTCTGTGTGACCTTTGGATTTTCTTTTCTTTTTCTCTTTCCTTCTCCCCTTTCTTTTTTCCCCTTTCCTTTCTCCCCTTTCCTTTTCCCCTTCCCTTCCCTTCCCTTCCCTTCCCTTCCCTTCCCTTCCCTTCCCTTCCCTTCCCTCAATTTCATTTCATTTTTCATACAGCCCACATGCAGTACAAGCTCATCTTGTTATTTTCCGTCCTGCCTTTTCTTCCTTCCCCCCTCCCTGAGCCTTGTTCCAAGTGATAACTGCTGCAAGAGCTTAAAAACAAGAGTGAAAAGTGTGAAGTGCATTCACTTTTATGGAGCTGCAAACAAGGGAAGGGGGAAGGAGGGGAAAGGCACCAGGATCGTTTGTCTGCCTCAGCTCAGTTCATGTCCTCAGCTATTTGTCAGCCTGCAGTGGTGTGAAGAGCATCATAAAAGACATGCTACACAAACGTTTAGGACAAAAGGAAAGTTCTGGTGTTGTGGGAAGCCTCTCAGTGAGGTGTTGTTGTTATCCCATCGCATCTGGCTCGTAGCTAGTGTCTGATTTCCCCTTTCTCAGAAGCTCTGTGACCACAGGCAGGAAATGTGCCACAAGCAGATGGAGAAGTTGGTTGTTGTGTTGTTCTGTGAGTTCTGCACACGCAGCTGGTCACCTGGGGGATGAGGAAAACGTGGCTAGGTAGAAGGAGGCTACAGCTGATACTGAAACACATTTGGAAGCAGCTTGTAGAAAGAGGCTGGCTGGAAATCCATACCCAATGTGCTCCATTTGATTTTTAGGATTTTATAACACATAGCAAGCAGCTGCCATGAGAAAAGGGAGTCCCATGTCCCACATTTTTCGTTCAGTTTCTCAAATGCCCCCTTGGCCATCACTCTATTGCTCCTTCAGGAAACGTGTCCCCCTTCCTGTCCCTGCCTTTGGTAAAACCACTTGAAATTTCCTTGCTTGTCCTTATCCAGAGCAAACATTGAGACCAAATATTTGACCAGAAGTGAGGGAAATCTTTTATTCTTTGCAAAACATTAAGATCAACAACAGTGAACCCATTCCTTATAGCAAAAGGCTTAAAAAAAAACAATGTGTGTGTGCATCCAGCCTGGAAATGCAGGTGAGGGCACCCGAGCTACAGTCATCTTTTATTAGTAGCAACTAACCTGGAGAGACACAAGGAAATTTCATCTATTCAAAATATGTTCTCCTGCTGCTACAGGAGAACATATCAGAGTCATGGGGAGTTACTGCTCTTGCTTCCTTTACGTGGAAATCACTTGACTGTCATTCCCTTATTGTCCCTCTCTGGGTATTACTATTATCAGTGCAGAAGTGCAATAGTTCTCCTTAAATAGTACTGCAGAAAAGTAAATAATTTCTTATTCCTGTGATTTTTTTCTTTTTTTTTTTCATAGAGGCACTACTTTGAGAATAGATTTTAAAGGACAAATATTATGTTTAATGACTCAGAAAGAAATGAAAATGATAACTAATACAGAGCCTGAAGAAAAACAGTAGTAGGAGCAGGTCACATAATAGCAAAAAACCATGTATCTATTTAGATAAGATGTGCCTAAGAGTCTGACTGAAAAGAAAAATAGGGAAAATCCATTCAGACAAGGAGGAAGGTTTCAGGAGCTCATTTTGGCTACTCAAAGGGCAATTAATTATTTAGCAGGAGCTACTAATGACTGCTTCATAAATAAATAAAAAAATAAACACTGGATCATCATTATAGGGAGTGAAGTCTCTATAAAGTAAAGTTTAATGGACTGAGCGAGGGTTTTTTAGTCTTAATCAGAAGACCAAAAGTTAAAATCAGACAGCCAGAGCAATCCACTCCTGCAAAAAGGTCAACTGCCCATGTTCCCTTCAAACAACTTCAGAGGGAAAAAGCAACTCAGCTGGGGCTGAGGAGGAGGGAGGAGAACCAGTTAAGCGAGGTGCAGGTGTAGGGCATCCTTATCACACAGGGTTTAAATGTGACCCCAGGTAACAGAGGAGCTTTGGGTAGAGCAGGGCTGTTGATGGAGTGGAGAGAAAACAAAAGTGATAAGAAAGTTGTTATAGCAAGCTCAGCAGGGAGGAGACCAAAGGTTTTATGCTGTTGTTTACTGAGCGATTGCTGTGAAGCCCAAGGTGAAACACATCGTGCCATCACAAGGTGCAGATGGCATGCTTTAAAAAATAGCTCTGGGGCTTGCCTTGCAAATACAGACAATCCTGGTTTTTCTGAGCAGAGCCTGTGCTGCAGGTGCAGTGTGTGCTGCTTGGACACTCACTGCTCTGCTGCTCCTTTGCTGTTTCCTGTGGACAGGAACCACAGTTTTCCTGCCTGAGGGTCTTCCAGGCCATCTCATTGTGGGTAAGACCTGCCTATTCCTGTTAGAGAGAATCCTTCTTTGTTTGCTGGATCATTTTATCCTCTTGACAGCAAGAAGGCTCAGGGCTAGCAGTGCCAAGGCAAGCTTTCGTGACCTGATGGACCCCCTGTCCTGGCATCCCATCTGGCACGGGCTGAGTTTGCTTTAGGGTGCCCTTGGTTATTTTTTGTCATCACGTGCCTTCAGAAGAAGGCATATGTTTTGTTCAATTAATTTGGAAAAGCTCACACAGTTCCTTCTGGTCAAGGGACAAGGCTTGAGTGGTCTCTGGTCAGGCTGGGAGGGGCAGTGATGGATGGCAGACGGGCACAGCAAATAACTGGGGGGAGGCTGAGATGAAGAAATCTCAGCACACCCAAGGATGTGGCTGGCAGTGGGTGGCTCAGTGTTACAAGGCAAGGAAGCTGCTGGTGTGGGAAATGTGTTTTCCTGCCCACCCCTCAATCCCTTCTCTGCCCCAAGTACCCCACACAGCCCTTAGTTGCAGACACACAGAGCTCCTTTTAATATTCTTTTTCCTTCTCTAAGCTGTCAGATGTCCTTGCCTTCCTATCATGCTCCTAACAGCTCCTTTGAGAGGGTGAGGGCTGAGCTGCCCTCAGCTGCATTCTCTGCCACACAGACCTGTGCCTGCTGGGACTTTGGCCATCTCGTGTGGCCTCACTCCCTTGTACATTGGTCTTGCTGTAACTTACAGCAGCTGCAACACAAAAAAAAAAAAAAGAAAAAAACACACACAAAAAAGAAACACCAAGAAAAAAAATCAAAAAAACCCCAGACCATTTTACTTCTTCTGCAGCTAAAAAAAAAAAAATGTATCCTGGCTATATGTTTGATCCTTGAATTTAAGGGCAAAGGATTTTGTCTCGGTTTTCCTTTCATTCCAGCAGAAGGGTTGAGAAGAATAGTTGGGAAGAAGGGGTCAATATTCCAATTCTCATAAAAGTCTGCAAGCATATGGCCTTTGCCAGCACAGCTGCTTTCCTGCCACCATCCACAATCAAGGTTAAAATGCACGATGCTCATTCAAAGGGAAATGCAGTGGGAAAATTTTCACTCCACTGTTTGTGCAGTTTTATTTCCAAAGGCAAATTGAAAAGTTGCAGTGTATTTCAGCTTGGTTTGACCTAAATGGCCAACCAAACAAGAAATAAATACCCTTTTGGGCTGTATTTGACTTTGGATCCCTTTTGCTTCAGTAGCTGAAGTGCCCCAATCTCCTGCTTCTTTCCCAGACCAGACTCCTGGCAGGATAAAGTTTCTTGAGCAGCAGTCCCATTGTCTTGCTGGCGGAGTAAACAAGCTGAGTTAGTGAGAAGCCCCAGAAAAAGTAATTTGACAGTGCAAAGGAGGGCAATGATACTCCAGGAACTGATGGATAGAGGTCAGCTCTATTTTGGGTCAATATTAAGTGCTCTGTGTGCTTGTTTTGTTGGGCTTTTTTCTAGCAAAGAAGATGAAATGTTACAGTTCAAGAGTGTCATGTCTATTGGTGCTTACTGAAAATGGAAATCCAGATAATAAACAAGCATTACTGCAGGGGTCTGGGCACACAGAACTCCAGGATGGAGATGTATCTCTGAATTACATTGTTAGTCCACAACTCTGACCCTCCTGCCCCTATATCTCTCCTCACAGTTCCGTTATATATTTTGGTGGTTTTTCTCTCTTTTTTTTTAATTTTTTTTAACCCTCCTCTGAAGCTTCACAGAGGCCAGATGGAAACATTTTTTCTTCTCCCATATTCCTGTGTTCTAGCTGTGGGTAGGAATGGGTGTCACACTAACTTGAATGGAGGGGATTGAGCAAACACGGGGCTGGTTCGAGAGAATGTTTATAGAGAGCAAAGAGAGATATCAACTCTATTAATTCCTGATTTCACCTTCAATTCTTCTTCTGTTTTCCACCCTGGCAAATCTGCATTCTGTGTAAATTCCCACCACTCCCTCTGCCATGTGATTGCAAACACTACTGGCTTCTTGCTGCTCTGCTATCTATTGTCTCCTTCATGAAAGTAAGAGAGTTTGGTTTAAACCCACTTTCATTGCAGCTGTGTTTATTTTCCCATGCCCATATGGAAGAGGGATGCGTTCTTAATTTAATCAGAGCTTTAAATTTCACCACAGTGGCAAAGGAAAAGATAATAACAGGAGAAATAATTATAGATACACCTGGTTTTTGGTTAACTTGGAGATCATGTGGTGGTGGGGTCAGAGTCTGGGGAGCCAGGCACGTGACTGGGGCTGTTTCTCCATGCAGCAATGAGTATTTGCTCAGGAGTTTCATCACCCCTCCCAGGAAGGGCTGCCGACCACAGGGTAACGTGGTTCCACTCCAGAGCAGAAAAGATGAATTTTCTATGTAAAATTACTTTTAGCACCATAGTGCTTCTTGACATGAAGGTCAATAAGTGCCTAAATTACTCAAAGTAACTGAGTTTATTATAATTCCTCTCTGTCACATTCCCTTGCTGCAGCTGTGACACTGTGCTGTTTAACTTATTTAATTATACAGTGGTGGTTGCTGCTGCATGTCTGTTGTTGGGGATGTTATGAATATTTAGATTTTTCTTTCTCTCTGGTTCCGTAATTTAAACAAATTCACTGAAGTGTATTTAACCTGAAGTAATCTAAGCTGCACGCTGCTTTGGGCTGTGCTGTTTTAGAAACTTCCTTCTGCACAATCATCCTCAAGCAAAGCAATTTCTTTGGTGTAAGGACGGGAAGAGAATCAGCCCTTCCAGTTCTGGAGTTCCTCTTTTGTTTGTTTTCTGCAGCAGCCTCAGTGACGGCGCTATTGGTGCTTTCAGTGGGTGTATTTTGACAGCAACCTTCCCCACTCACACATGTGCACACCCCCGGTTTTCCTCCCCAAAGGGTGCATCAGGACACCAGCCCCACCATACCAAAGGTCTGTGGGCTGAGCTGTGTTTAGCAATCTGGAGAGCAGCTATTGGAGGGCAGAGAGGGCAGGACATTTCCATGATAAACCCTTTTCCCTTCAGGATACAGCATAAAGTAGGGATTCACTGTGTGCCTGTCAGCACTGTGCTGGGTAGGAAGACTGTGAGTAACATCTTGGAATATTTAAAGAAAATGTTTTAAGGGGAGGGTTAAGGGAACTTTACTTTTTTCTTTTTTTCTTTTTTTTTTTTTTGTTTTTACAAAGACATCAAGACAGAGGGGAGATCCATAAAGATACCAGCAGATCTAAACCAGGACAAATTATCATTTTATAATTAAGCCTAATGGACCTTCCTGAGGAGGTTTGATAAGATGACTTGCTAATATTCACTTTTTTTATTATTTAGTCAGTAAATTATGCATAAAGGACAAAACTGAAATAATCACCCAGATATTCGTGTCACTTGTGCCTGACTAACTCTCATCCATTGTCTTTCATAGCTTTAAAATGGGAAATAAGTACTAGAGGCCAATGTTTGATAGGGGCTGATAAATTATGGAAAAATGACTTTTTTTTCTTAATATAAGTTGCATGTGATCTTTTTGAATATGAAAGAATGCCTACAGTCATAGTTGAGTTTTTACATTGAATCAGGGTGTAGTACAATCAAGTCCTGTGGAAGAGCAAAAGAACAAAGAAAGAAACAAAAAGTAAAAATATACTGATTTGTCATCTGTTAAGTCAAAAATTGTAATACATTTTCAAGGAAAGAAAGAAGAAAACCTGGTCTAGTGGAAGGTGTCTCTGCCCATGGCAGGGATTGGAACAAAGTGGCCTATAAAATCCCTTCCAAGCCAAACCATTCTGGGATTAAATGAAAACACCTGAATTACTTTTTTTGGAGTAGGTAGTGGGGACAAATTGTTTCTCTTAAAATATTCTTTTTTTCTCTAAGCTGTATGAAAAAAACATTCTGATAAGGAGCTATGTTTATCAAAGTGGGAAATGCCTTTTTCTCTGATGGGTCTGAATTCTAGTTTGAAGAGGTTACTGAATATTGTTTTCAGATATAAGGAGAAAAAGTGTGCTGTTCTTATACAAATGTGTTTGCTCTACATAGAGAAAACAGCAAATGACTTGAATTATTATAAAAGAGTTGCACAGGACTCTATTCTGAAAATAAAAAAAAAAAAAAAAACAAAAACAACCAATAATGCAAATGACTTGAATTATTATAAAAGAGTTGCACAGGACTCTATTCTGAAAATAAAAAAAAAAAACCAAAAACAACCAATAATGCCAGTCAGAGTTAAGGAGAATGGGAAAAGCCAACCCCAAGCAATTCTGGGATTCCTCTCTTTGAAGCCTAATTCCCACTCAAAGGGCAAAAGTACTTTCTTATGCTGGTCTCAGAATTGGATCTCTGGGATTTCATTCCCCAACAGGATTTTGATTGATTTTATTTTAGTAGTTTTATCTTATTTCATAATATTTGTATTAAATCAGATACCCCTGAGCACTTATTTTTTTTTAACTTCTAGATCTCTGTATTTAATATTATATTTGTTGTCAAAATCTAATATCAATAAGAATCACAATAAATGTAAATCATTTGTCAGATGCAGCAATGACAGGGAACCAAGAGCCTGATCCAGGAATTGCTCTCTGGAATAGAGACACTTATTGATTTCAGTGAGGTTTGGATCAGGCCTCAAATGGAACCAAAACCCATCTGTGCTTGCCAGGTGGGTCAGGGGATGACCTGGGAGATGATGGCCACAAATCTACAGCAATAACTGAGTGCCCTTGCTAAAAAAATGGTGACTGCTGAGATGAATCATAGGAATTCCTAAATAATAGGGAGTTGTGCTGTGTTCATGTGGTGTAGAGCAGGGAATCCACAGGCTGGGTGAGAAGAATGGGGTTATAATACCAAACAGTCCTTCAAGCACCCTTATCATCCACCTCCTTATTACAAATTTCAGGGCAATTACCTCAGTGGTCCCAAGAGATGAACACTGGAGGCTCTCAAACCCCCTTTAGGCTGTTTTCAGAAGATGACAGAGGTGATGGCAATACTTCCTAGGGACCATGGGGGCTGAGCATCACTGAGCAAATATCCATAACTCAAGATTGATCTGTTTAGAGAGCTGAGAAGGCTCCTCACCTCCAGGAGGTATGTCACAAGGGAGTAAAATTAAATAAAAAAAAAAAAAAAAGAAAAATGAAAATCCAGGCATTAACTTGAGTGGGAAGGAGATTTTTACAGAAAATACTGCACTGGCAATTATTTTACCTAGAAAGAGACAGTCAGGGAGACATGAGTTTGAATCCCTCATCTAAGGATGTTTTTACATAATTTGCATTAAGTGCTCATTATTAAAAACAGAAAGCTCTATCTTTATTATGTATGTGCTGGACATGCTTTGATAATGGGATTGGGACATCCATGCTGGGGTTGTAAATCAAATAAACAAGCCTTGGAAACAAAACCTAGTTCTGCTTTCCAAGTGTTGCTCGGAAATAAGCTCTCATTAATCCTGTAATTTGGGGAAGTGAAATTTGAGTTACTCTATGTGTATAATGAGGTGACTGTGTTAGTGATGGCCATGGGGTCTGTGACCATACCTTGCTTTTCTTGTTGGTTCACAACATCTGGAGGAAATCAAGCTCCCTATGCCTCCTAGAAACCTTGAAAAGCACTCTGAAAATCAAGATGCTATATTTTTTTTTCCCAAACATTTTTCCATTTTATTTTTCTTTTCCCCAGCTGAATGATGATTAGGGTGAATGAGTGGGAATGATAAATTTGGTGACAATGAGGAGGTGTGAACAACCTGTGTGGAGACAGCATAAAAATAGGATGTCTCCAATAAATCCCAGGGGAGGGTGAACATTAGCTAAATGAAAACTGTTGTTTTAAAGAACTCTGCTGCTATTTTTTTATTTTTTTTTATTTTAACTCTGCATACTGGTGGGAGGGGAAAAATTGTTACTGTGTAAGGTATCAGTCTTATAATAATAAAATAATAATAATAAAACCAAATGATAGCAGATTAAAGCAGGTAAATAGCATCATGCTGACCATTTGGCCAGAGTATAAACAGGTTTGGGTTAATTAGCACTAAGGAGGCTGTGCTGTTTGGGGAGTTTATATTTAAATACCAACCGTTGTCCTTCCCATATGTGTTGACAAAGCTCTTCTCAATAGTCATGTGTTGTTCTATCCACAGCTTGTTTCTGATAGCTGCATGTAGGATATTTTGGCTTTAAGAAATGGGAGCTTATGGAAGATATGTGCTTCAAGAGTTTTCTTTCTCAAACAGAGAAAAAAAGTAATATTCTCTGGTGGCTCTGTTTTCCTTGTTATGTGCTAATCTATCCTATTTCAGCCTATCCCCTGGAGGGCTCCTTTGCACCAAGACTCTTGGGGATGTTAAAAAGGCAGAGAATGTTGTGTGGTGTAACTACACATTTCCCTAAACTGGGGCAGCCACCAAGCACCTCACTGAGCCTCTTGGCTGCCTGCTGCCACAAAACACAGCAGGGAAGTCCTGCCCTAAAGTGCAGAGTATGTGCTGCAAACCTTCTCTGCCAATTGTAAAGCCAAGTGCACAAGTGCTGACTGGAGCACGGTGGTGTCTCTGAGCATTACAGTTACAGGACTGTTTTCATATCAAGATCAACGAGCTTGCAAATTTTGCAGTTAGTTTTGGGCGTTCTCCTAGAATTCGTGGTCTGTCACATTTCTGATTTCACTTGGGCTTCTCTCCTTTCCTGGGAGAAAGAGATCTAAACCAGCAGGATATTTGGTGTAGCTGAAAGGAAATATTAATTCAAGGCCCTGATTTTGAAAGCTGTGTTTGCCTGACACCTGCATCCTGCCTGCTCTGCCCTTGCACATGAGCACGGCCGTACACAAACACCCCCTCCAATTTTTGAGGCAAAACATGCTGAAAGGGGCTGAACATTGGAAAATGTGGAAACAACTTCAATGTATCTGTGCACCTGCTATTCTTAGGAGCTCAGACTGCAGAAACAATAATGCTGCCTCTGGCTTTGACGTCTCCAGACTGTGAGTGACACTCCAGCATTTGGAGCTGCTGTCAGTCTGGTGGGAACACTTAGAAGAGGCTGATAAAGTTTAAAAAGGGAAGAGCTTTGTATCTGTAGAAGGGAAAGAAAAAAAGCCTTTGGGGGTTACAGCAATATGTTGCCTTGGAAATATTTGATCAGGTTTACTATTCTATTCAGACACTTCACTTTTTAAAAGCTTTAAATCAAGTAAGTTTGGGTCTTGAATGGTGCAGCTTTAGTGGCTGCTTATCAGCCACTCGTGACTATGCAAACTGCAGAAACTAAACTGCCATTTCTGATTTTCAGGTGAAATTAAATGACCTGAAAATGGATCCATCTTCTCCTGTGCTCCCAGCAAGCATTTTGGAACAGACTGCCTTGCAGCTCGGATGCAGCCCCACGGACAAAAAGCTTGCTCTTCACTTAGATGAAAAAGATGAGCTAAAGCATCTTCGGGAATGTTTCTGTGTCCCCAAAGTCAAGGATCTGCCTCCAAGTGAGAGTTATAATTGCTGTTGAGGGAGAGGGAGGGGGAAAGGGCCGGGCTTCACATCTTCTGCATGTGTTTATCACAATTCTTTGGAAATCATCGTCACTTATGAGATAATTGAGCAATTGTAGTCATATCTGAGCACAGAATGTCCCCGCTGTTGCTAAATCAATCCATCAGCTTATTCTAGCACCAAAAGCTCTATGTTCTCGTTGCCATCCTGAATCAAATGTGAGGATACAGTACTTATGTGGTGCTTATGCTGTCAGTCAGCAGCTTTGAACAATGTAGTGACTGATTGAAAATTACAGGCAGGAGCTTTTCTGTCTAATGGCTCGAAACAGCAGCCTCGCTCGGGTAGTTCAGAGCAGTTGCTTCCTTGGTGTGATTCAGCTTGGAATTATCTGTCTGGTTACAATTATTTTAGTTAATGAAAGAGGCAGTATATATATTATGTGAACATTTATGTCTTATTGCTGGTGGTGCAGCTATTTTCTCACTGAGGCCAAATGGAAGACTGTGCCTCAGAACAAATAATTGATCTGAGCAAATAATTCATAATGAAGCCTTTTATTTGAAGATATTTTCCACTTTCCTCATGAATTGCCTAAAAATAGGCAGCACCTGACTTCAGTGAAGCTATGTGAAATTGTTCTGGACATTTTTCTCCTTCTTTCCTGTTCCACAGGTTGCTTTGAGGAGCCTGTGGAATGTCTGGGCATGGGGAGGGCTTGGTGTGGAAGCAGGAGGGGTGGAAAAGAAGTTCAGACTGAGAGGGAAGCATTTGCTTGGGGTTAGCACCCCCAGACCATCAAAACTAAAACCCAGCTCCAACTTTTTTTTGATGCCTGCAATAGCCACCGTGTTTAGCCAAATTCATGCAGGGAAACCTGGTGGGAGCAGCCACCTATGGAGGCAGCAAGGTCCTGGTCTCTCCTCCTGCTTCCCAAGCCCTGTCTGGCTTTGTTTCTGTCTCAGTTACCTGTGCTGGCTCTGCAGGCCCTGGTCACTGCACACTGGAGAAATGGCAGATTTATTTCCTGAGATGGTGAACACACACAGGCACAGTCACTCTCCTCCTTTCCTGCCTTGGCTAAATGTTCCTATTGATAATGAAAGGAAAAGATATGATAGAACTTCCTTGCCATTTCTTTCCCCAATTAGTGCAGACAGAATTTTCTGCAGGTTTTCTTTTTCTGAAAGGACATTACTGATGGTAAATGAGAAATTACAGGTGCATTCACCAAAGTGTGTCTAGTAAGGGACTATGATAGAAAATGGTGTCAATAGTCTGAATTCCTGGACATCTTTTGAAACAGTCTGTCTTCAGTATCTTCCTGCTGAGCAATGATGAGTGTTGGGAATGCAGTCTGCTCCTGCCCTTGGGACACGGGGATGATAAATCTCAGTTCTCTGTGTTCTGGTGGCATTGGCTTATCTTTCCCCACATTTAAATCCTTGAATTGTGCTGTTTCTATTATTCAGAGCAGGACTGGACACTTTGTAAATATTTAAACTATGTGCTTCCTCCGTGCCCCTGTAACTTTTCTTTTTCATTTTTTTTTACCCTGGTCGCTTGAGAGTTTCCTAAACCCCCTCTGTTTGCTTGGATATTTGACTATTCTGGACTCAAAGCTCCTTCAGCTGCCACCGTGGTGCTGCAAGATGTGCCACTGAAGCTGGAAAGATGCTGGAACACAGTTCCCATGGCAGTGGTGCTGCTGGAATCCAGCCCAAGCTGGAGCAGCTGGATCTTTGACTGCAGAATATCAAATGTCTCTCCAGGATATCAAAGGTCACTTTTCAGTGTAGTGTTGTAGCAGCTTCAGATTAAAGAATCTTCTGAGAAGTAGAAGTAGAGGTTTTGATACCCATGTGACAGTTTTGGTTTCTTCCCTTTCAATGTCCACTATTATTTGATTTTCAATCACTACAATATCTAGACCCAAAGACTGCTGCTGTGGGGTTTTCCCCCTGCAGCAGTCTAATATTTAGTCCCCAGACTGTGGGGGTATTCCCCCTAATATTTAGATATTCCCCCTAATATTTAGTCCCCAGACTGTGGATAAATGTGTTGTAGTGAGGATAAACAATGTACAAAGTAGTACCAGTTGAAAAGCACAGAGAACCCATCATTCTGGTGTTCCTAAATTGAGGGGTTTTTTTCCCTCCCCTTTTTCCTGTCCTTCTTTTCTGTGCTTCAGCTGTCATCAGGAACAGCTTCCCTGCTGAAGAGCAGCAGGGGTGTAAATATATATATATATATTTACATTGTGTGACTATAGCATAGAGACAGATCTGCCATGACATTTATCTGCGCCCAGGAGCGGATGCTAGATAACACGTTCCTGAAGATAAATGTCATTCCAGATATTAGCCATCAAATATTCTTTATATATTTACATAAAGCATTACAATGAGGCTTTAAAATGAAACCTTACGAGAAGCAGATGAGAACATCCATAGGAGACAACGGTGAGATGACGTACAGGAAAATATTTAGGAAGTCATTAGAATAGTTTAATTTAGTTATCAAGTTATAAACTGTCAGGGCTGTTTATTTGCTGTATCCATCAAGGGGAAAGCAGCAGCAGCCTAACTCCCTGCAAATCTGGGAGGCTTTATGGGCAAGCATAAGGGGCAAAGCTCAGGTGAGCAAATGAGGCAAAGACGACACAAGAAGACTTAGGGAAATGTTTGGATCCCATAGTTCTTCTCCAAGCTGACAACAAAGTCTCTTTAACCTCTCTTCGTGCGTCCCAGGAAGGAGGCAGAAATGGCCTGGGCACCAAATCACCCATCTCATTAAGGCTGTGGCTCCTGCTTTGTCACCTGCCAAAGGAGTAGGGTGCCTTTTGGTTTATTTGGAATAAAAAGATGCCCTGGAGTGAAAGAGCTGAGCTGTATTTCCAGAGGAAATGGTTAAAAGTAGTGGTGAACCATAAAAATCTGGCTTTTAGGAGGGCTGGAAAGTGGGGTACAGGCAGGTGTGAAAGTGGAGATCTTTTATCCTTCAGCTAAGGACAGAGCTCAGATAGGTACAAGCAGATTTAGTCCTTCCATTCTGGTTAATGAATCCATTACATTTTTCCCTTTTATTTGGACTGAATATTTCTGACAATAAACTTGCTTTTCCTTTTAGGTTTAAAAGGTATAGAAGTGCATCTTCAATGATGCACCCAATAATGAATGGGTATAATTAGTATGCAAAGTAATGTATATGATTAGATTTGACCAGTTTGCTGAAATCTGAGAAGGTGTGTGAATATATAATATATTTAATTAATCTTAACTCAAATGTATTTTTTGATCCAGGCTACTCTAAAAACACATTTCAATATTTCTTTTTTTCTTTGCTTTTATTTCCTCAGTTGTGTTTATTTCCTGTTAGAATATTTCAATATGGATTTCAAATCAACCACAGCTCCTCCAGAAATTAAAAGGGCCTACACCATGAAAAATAAATGTAATCTGAGGAAAGACAAATGCTAGGAAAAAAGAATATCACGGTGAATGTAGAGTTGTTGGAGCATGAGGAGGTGCCGATCAGGAGATATTACAAAGATGGTGAAAAAAATGAGCAGCAATGGACTAAAATGAATATTTTAGTGATGTCAGAGAGGGGGAAGTAAAGAGCTTTTTGTCAAAAGGAAAAAAAGTTCATCCAGGATTAGAGTTGATAACATATCAAGAAAAGAATATCAAAAGGAGCAGGCAGAAATTTATTAAAATAACTTTGTCCAAAAGGCAATGCCCTGTCTCTCCAAGGTGAACAGAGGTGTTTTTATTTAGAAACGACTGTGGTGCAAGAAAATCTGCCTTGCTGATGATTCCTCACCTGTTTTAGTGCTTGGAGAGCATTGGTGAGATGGAGCTTGAGATTCTTGAGCAAGGATCCTTCTGTCTAACCCCAGGGGGACAGTGTTATTGTGTTTCTTGGTAGGAAAAGAACTTTTAATAGAATCAATTTGGGGGCATGGATGATATTTATGCCTCTCTGTTTTCATTCATATTACAATGGAGATGAAAAACAGACAGAGTATCTGCAAAACAGATTAGGCTGAGATTGCTCTCTGACTTATGCTTTATAAAAGCCTCTAAAACTTTAATTAAGAAATTACCCAAGTTGTCTATACTCTTGAAAAATGTGTTTCTGGGGAAGTTCAATAAAATTGGTAATTGTTAGTGCAAAAGGTAGTAAGAAACCTTTTCCAGGCTGTTTTTCTACAGGCCTTACAAAATTTTCACAGACTGCATTGCAATCTTATGGTTCATTTTTAGCATGTATCTTAACATGCTCATTCATTTGGTCCTTATTCTGAGGGATATCAATTGTATTTATCTAAATTATATGTGATATTAGCTTTCAGGAGTATTGTAAGTATAGGTATAGACAAATGCAAATTGCCACTTCTAGAAGGTCACCATCACTTGTCCCTCCAAGAATCTCTAACATGAGAAATAACAGAAGAAGGCTGTGTTAGGATTGATAGATGATGACATAGGGTAATTAGATTGCTCAGAACCTCACTAGAGCTATTATTTATAAATTTCTACTGCCTTGCTTTTCTCCTAATCATTGAAAGGATTTGTCAACATAGATTTCCTCCTTCTCCTCAGATGATGACATGAAGTGCAGCCCACAGTATTTGCTGACAAGACAAAAACTTTTAGGACCTCTTTAAAATATTCTCCTCGACAATTACATGTTTTCTAAATAGAGATTTAATTGTACAGGGACAACTTGAAAGACACAGATTTACCTAGTCCTAACTTTTGTTAAATGCATGGCTCCAGTAGCTTCATCACTCAGAGTAGGCATATCCTGGTGGTGGAAGAAAAGGGGATAGCCTGATTGGGAAAATACTCCCTGTTGTGAGAACACACAAATTTTATCAGATGTGTTGGTTACAGATCTGATAAAATTGGTGCCAGTGTCTGCTTCTCACAGAGCCCCTGAGAGCTGGGGATTTAGTGGTGCCTGAACTCTCATCAGCTCCAAAAATTGTAGGAGGAAGAGGTGAATAGTCGCAAAACTAAGCAGAACTCCTCCTTGGATGCTCTTCAGGGTTACTTGAGCGATGTTCCGGGAGAGAGGTCAGGATGTGACACCTCTGTTTCCATATGGGGACCAGGATGTCCAGGGGATGGGGATGGACAGAGCTCTGGGGTGGCACCTGTGTTTTGGGGTATGTGCACACCTGCTGGCCCTCCTGTGCTGCGTCCCACATGTGCTGTGGTGACCCTCCAGTGCTCAGTCCCACGTGCATTTTTGTTTCTCTGGTTTCCCTCCACAGCTGACCTGACCCTGGTGAATGGAGAGGAGAGCTGTGTGTACTTTGCTGGGAATTCTCTTGGGCTCCAGCCAAGAAAAGTTAAAACTTACTTGGATGAAGAACTGGACAAGTGGGCTCGGACGTGAGTAGCCTGTGGGGTGTGCCAGATGCTGACCTGTGCTTCAGAGGAGCTCTTTATTTTGGGGTCTTCCTTGGAACTGCTTGAGCAGCAGCAGAGTGCATTAAAAGTGCTCCAGCCCAGGAGTAAAACATGTTCAGTGTTTTCCTAGTGCTGTTTGTATCTCTTTTAAAGGCAAGAGCAGTCAAACAGGCAAATAGACCCTTTCAGCTGTGATAGCCCCTGCTGTGTGTGTGGCTCTGCTTGGCTCACCTGGAGAACCTGTGCAGTTTAACCTTCCCCTAACCCTGCAGTGTCTATAAAGTGTCCCTACAAAGCACACAAACCTATTTGGTTGCTGCTGCTTGCTGGTGAATGTGGTGGGGTTCCAGGCCCTGTGATTTTCTAATTAATGTTTTTAGCTGCATGATTCACCCTGCAGGCCTTGCAACAAGCAGCTCCCATTGAAACAGCACCGAATGCAGGTGATGCTGCTGCCATGCTGGCAGGTTTTTGGCTCCTCTTAAACCAGGTCTCTGCCTGACAAGTTCATTTTATTTAGAAAGAAACATTCCTGTCTTCTCAGTAAGGAGCTGAGTGTGAATTACAACAAGCTTTGCTAAATCAACCTGATGTAAAAGAGACAGGATAAAAGAAGGACACTGCAGGAAAGGGACACTGTCATCATAACAAATGGGGAACCTTTTAATATGCATGAGGGAAAGAAAAAGCTTTTTTTACTCTTTATTTAGGTTTTTTTAATATTATGTTCTGTTCCATTAAGAGTCTGTGCTTTGAGATCTCCTGCACCTGCCTGAGCAGCTGGAGCAGGGATGAGTAAGGAAAATGATGAGTAAAAAACAGAGAACTGAAGGTGGGAAAGGAAAATACCATCCAGATGAGTGAGTGAGCTGGGTGAGAGATGAACTCTTTTATAGGGTGCGGGATATGAGTGGAACAGATGTGATTTCATGGTGAGAGAGCAGAGGAAATATGGAGAGGCAGAAGAGGAAAAATGAATTCTGCTAAGTGGGCAGCCTTGTTTCAGCAGAAACAGTCGAGATGGAGGCTTCTCAATGCAAATGTGAGAAATCTGTAGCTGCTCTTCCACTTGTAAATGTATGAATGCTGGGAGCTCATCAATATGGTTTATTGATTCCTATTTTTCACCTGTATTCTCATAGGTACGAAGGCTGAGAATGAGTGGGAATGAGTGGGACTTTGGGAAGAGCTCGTTCCTTCTGGTTATTCAGGCAGCACAGCAATGCAGTTTCTCCAGTCATTTGAAAAAATTGCAACCCTGTCCATTTCTGTGCTGTTATCCCACTTTGTCAGGGAAACAGCTGAGCTCCTTCAAAAGGCAGAAGTCAGATAACATTCTTAGAGTGATGCACTGGGACTGCAAACGTTATTTCAGCTCCTCCACTGTATCTTCACTGCCTCACTTCTATTCTTGTGTTTGTCTTTGCTGCAGTGAAAGATGAGTTTTTCCTCAGTGACTGTAAAAACCTGGAAGAAAAAAGGTAGGCAGTGTGCTCCTTCAGATCAAAAGTGCCTTCAGGAACTGTATCTAGGGGGGGGAAAATGGCTGAACATTGATTTCAAGCCACTTCAAGAGAAGGGGCACAACCAGGAAGGTTGTTTGCCAAAAACACGGTTTGGCCTCAAAAACCTTACCCAGAATAAATCAGAAAGTTTAAAAACAAATTAAAACCAAAACAAAACCACAGTACCAACTAAGCAAAACTCCTCAAATTAAGATCAACAAAGAAACAGGATAAAATCCTGAACCTAAAGCAACTGAGACAGCCAAGGTAGGATCAAGCTGATTTTGAGGAGAGCAGCGTATGCTTAGAGAAGGTGGTGAATGGAATGCAAAGGAATAGGTGGCTGAAGGTACAGAAATGAGTACTTTTATTCCAGTCACCAAGGACAGCTTAGCAAAACCCATTCTAAGGTGGTAGCTGTTCCCAGCTGAAGGCTGTTCAATGGCTGTTGTGTCAGCAGTGTGGGATGTAGTGGCTCTGGCTTAGATAAATAAGTAGCAAGAATCTAGGAAATGGCATGCAAATTAGGAACATCCATCAAGTCAGCAATGGTATAGATTTTGGCTTTCTTATAAATTGGTTTACTGCATTTTCTGTTTGTTTTGTCTTGGGAGCCCTCTCAAAGAGCTGTGAGTCTATTTAAATGGCTTTCACTGCTCGTGGTTAAGGGCAAGAGTGAAAAGGAAGATTACCCAGTGCTGGTCAAGGACAGGGGAGCTGTAGCTTCATCTCCAAGTAGTGATGGTAACTCATCAGGCAAACAGCTGGGAGGGAAAAACATGGAAATGCCTCTCTCTTGTTGTGTTTCCTCTCAGTGCTTAGTTCCTTTCCCTCACCTCCACTTTAACTGGTGGGTTCCAGCTCTCATCCTACATCTGCCTCCCACACACCTTCTCTGCATTTGTATTCTTCCTCTCCATATCCCTTCCCACTGTTTCTTATGCTAATGTAGCAAAATTACAAATCCAAGCCACGGGCATTCTTAGTATGGATTTAAAAGCAGCCTCTGAGGCTTCATGTTTCAGTTATGATTTCAGCTAAATCCAAGATTTATTGAATAAGGGGTAAAAAGGGATGAAGAGTTGTTCCCTCATGTTTAGCCTAGAGTAGCCAATAACCCAATGTTTTAAAAGTCCAAACTTCAAGGGACTTTTTTTGGTTGGAGGAAGGCCAAGAGATGCTTTGCAGTGCCTTGTTTTCCCCTCTGCCCTGCCAGAACCAGTTAAGTAATTAAAATATTTTATAGAATCATTACTGTGTGTGAGCATACTCACTGCAGCAGGCAATGTCTCTCGTCTGAATAACTCATTAAAGTGGAACAATTAAAACAGAAGGGAGCCTGCTGTAGCCAGTTGTGCTCCTGTGAAGGGCTGGCAGGGTGACTGGGGAGTGGGGAACCTGCTGCACGCAAGTCCTGAGGACTGGAGCTGTAGAGCAAAATTAAGACTGAAAGGGAAAATGATTGTTCTCTGTGGATGTATCAGTGTAGGGGAGGGAAGGAACCACAATATGAAAAGCATGTTGGCATAGTAAATATAAACAAGGAATTAGTAAATTGAAATAAAACATGTATAGAGAAATAAAAGGTATCTATACTTCTAAGCACTGAAGTGGTCTGGCAAGAGGCTGACATGGACATGGGATATTAACAACCTCCCAGTTTGAGGAAGGCTTTATAACATAACACTTAGAGTAGCAAAGACAATTTTCAGCAAGTCAGAAGGTATCTTTGGGTCTGTGTGCTGAACTAATTCTGCAAGATGTGAGAAGGCTGCAAACAGGAGCTTGGCCAAGCCCTGTTGGACATCCCCACCTCTCCTGCCATTCTCAGGACTCTGCCTTTCACCAGGTTGTGTGGTAAAGCTGCAAATTCCTCTTTTAATGCCCTGGAATTTTTAATTTTTTCTTTAATCTGCTGGTCCATACAGTTCTTTTTCTTTTGACATGTCTTCCCCTTTTTTGGCTGTTTCTTTGCTTGAAACCTTGGTCCAACTTAAGAGTCTGTACTGGCTCATTAAATACCTTGCATCATTTTTGGCAAAGGAGCAAGAAGGAAATTTGCACTTGACTAAGAGTTGGATGAGCGCAGAAAATTCCTGAAGATGGCAATTAATTTAAATTCCTTTTCTCACCGCCTTTGAAACCCTGGGATCATCTCAAAAAATGTGTTTCTAGCTCCCCTAGCAAGCTTTAAATCAACCAGACCTCAGCGAATAAAACGTGGAATTGTGATTTCCTGCCAAACTGAAAATAAAATGGTAACCAACTAAAAATTAATTTGCACAATGAGAAACCCTCATAGAAGTTGAAGAAATATCTGTTTGTCTGATGCTCTGCGATTTGATGGGTGAAGTTTTGTATTCATTAATTTGGATACCTCAATTTAAATCTCTTTTGCTACCTAAGGTGCAGTGGAGGAAAAGGCTCTCCATGTATGAGGGGAATGCCAGGAGCACTGCACTTGTGTCCTTAAAGATTATTACCCCCAGTGCCTACCAGAGCTGAGAGAGGGGTGGCATAATATACAGAGATATAAATTCTCTGAGGCACAGCATAGAATTTTACAACCTAAATGTAATAGGATGTATTGTGCCATCAGCAAAGTCTACAGAGTTTCATGTGATTAAAATAAAAAAAAAAGGGTCCAAGAATATGCTTTTAACTACCATTTTAGAGGCAATAATTTTTGTCTCTTGGCATTTATATTTGCCATCAAGAGGGAGGCAAGCTGTAAGCTGGGCCATAATAATAATAATAAGAATAATAATAAATGCTGCCTCTCCCTTCTTTCAATATGGTTAAATGTCCATGTTTTCTTCTCAAAATAAAACATTCTCATGACCAAAATCTCACAACTGTTTTCATGATAACTTGGAAATTTATTCTGAGATTTTGATAGTCCTGTGTGCTGATAGAGAGAACTTTCATTAGTAAATTCCCATTAGGATGACACTAATGGCTATAAAATCAGGGAAAGCTAATGAAAGAGAATCCCATAGGTAGTTAGGACTTATTTTTCCCATCTTATTATATTTGCTATCCTCTTTCAGAAATACAGATTCCCTCAGGCTGGGAGCTACTGAAAATCTTTGGGGGTTTTATTTTAACAGTCTTTATAATCCTAAAGTCCCTCGATCACTCTATTACAGTTAAGAATAAGACAGGAAATTACCAATAAATGTCTTGCTGTTTGTGAAACATATACCCCCTGTCTTCAGGGAATGCAGCTGCATTGTGGGCTGATAGAAGGGAGGAAATTTCAGCACTATTCCTGCCCCTCACAGCATTTTCTCCCCTCCCTACCCACTGCCTTTATTCCTCATCTATGAAACGCTCTTGTAAATGAGGGTTATTTCACACTGCCTGCTCTCTGCTCTTGAGGACTCATCAGAGAGCAATTGTAAAATGGAGGAAAGCAGTCAGCTGCTGTACCAGGACCTCATCCAAACTGAGGAGCAGGGTCCTCCTTGTCGATGTGGGATTGGACTTGTCGAGCGTGGGACGCTGTTTTATCTGTAAGAGATGTTCAGCTGTACCTTTGCACTCCTTCAGCTGTTACTCTAATCTAGCCCAAGATTAAATGGGGTTTTGTAAGGATGAGAAGCTCAACATGGTTAATACAACTGAGTTTTTTAAAAGCAACAGCTCCCCTATTTTTTTAGGATTGTAGTTCTTTTTTGGAGGTATCTCTATGAGGTGTGAATTAGACCCAAGTCAATCAAAAAGGGTTTGACTGTAAACGCCCAGGTAATTTTTGCAAGAGACTGATATTCTACCAGAGAAGGAAAAGTATGAGGTGGATAGGGAAAACCAATCTTTTAAATAGCCTTGAGGATGGGGTAGTGGCTCATGCATCCTCCTGTCTCAGGTCTTAATCTGCCAGCTGTCCTCCTGTGATTTTGAGTGAACGTTGTGGGACAGTTCTTCTTTAAAAGGTTTACTACTTTCTTTTTTTCCCTTTTTTCTTACATCAAAGCTTTTAGGGCTTCTTCTGCTCTCTACCCAGCTTCCTACTGGCTTTGTCCTTATTTTGAAACAGCTTTATACTCAGCCTCATGCAGCCTGGTGTTTCCAACTCCACAAGTACCCCATGGTGCTCAGCAAATATGAAAATCATCCAGTGTGAGATGGGAGCCCAGAGCAATGTTTCCCTGGATTAGCACCATTATTACTTTTCTCAATCTGCCTCCATTTGCATTTAAATCTGTACTCTACACCCTGCATGTTTAAGAAAATAGGCAACTTTTTATTTATATATGCATGGCAGATATATAAGAAAACTTAAAAGTTTTCTTCTCTGTCATAACTGAAGGAAAATTTAGTTCAGAGCACTTAATACAGAACTGAATTTATACATCTGTCACCTCAGAGTAGCAGAACACTTGAGTTTAAGGTGACCATATGATCCCTGCAGACAGGATCAGTTTGCAACACAAAGTTTTAAAATAGCTTTTGTCAACCCAAAAAGCTTAATGCACACTGAGCTCTAGGACAACTTTTCAGGGAGAAGAGAACCAATAAGAATTAGCAAGCAGCTCTGTTGATGCAGGGAAGCACCTGCCCCTGCATGAAGCACCCTCTGGTTTGTGCAGAGGAGTGAGCTCAGACAGGAGATGCAGGAGGGTGGAAATTGTTTCTGACAAGAAAGATTCCTGCCTGGGAGAAAGGCAGTATTTAAGTCTATCATCCTTTGCACCATCTAATGGCCAGCCAGGAATGCAGGTTGTGGAAGTCTGTGGGGTGAGCTCTGCTGTCTGTGCAGTGATGTCAGCCTGGCTTAGCAGGTGCCATCTCACACTGGGATGCCTTGTCCCAGCTTTCCTGTCCCCAGAGTCTTCCAGAGCCCATACAGCCAGGGGGCATGTGAAAAAGATATCATCTTTACTGATGAATTTCTAGAGGAATTTGTGAGCCAAAATAAATAGTTTTCAAGCAACTGAAATCCTGTCATAAACCAATAAACTGCCTTTGCTCTGAGGTTTAACGGGGTGAGAAAAGAGTTGTGCTCAGCTTAGGCAAGTCTCATCCTCCAAATGTGGAGTGTCCAAATCTGATGTGATTCTTAGGACTGATCCAAATAGAACACCACACCTTTTCATCATTTTTCCATTCCTTTTCAGAGGTGTCCATGGCCATTTCAATGGCCAGCGCCCGTGGGCCTTGGCAGATGAGTGCCTCCTGGACCTGATGGCTGAGCTGGTTGGTAGGTGTGACGTGCAGGGCAAAACCTTTCTCCAGAAATAAAAACAAATCTAGTTTCTTTAAGACTCAAAGACCTGAAACTTTGTAGGCAGAATTTAGTTCCTTTTATTCTTATGTTTGAAAGCAGGTTTTCTTGTGCATGGGCTAACGTTTTATTTTAAGGCTGTGAGTGTTTTAGGGAATGAATGTGTGTGATGTGTATATAACAGAACTAGTTGCAGCAGAGGGTTTCTTGGAGCATCATAAACCACTTGGACTAACACATGAAGCCCTTTTAAAGGGCACTTGGTATTGCAGAGTCTCAGACACTCTTCCAGAAGTAAAATTATGAACTTTCCCCTTTGATAAATTATTTCTATCTAGACATTTTCTGGTTTTCCTCTTTTCCCTGCCACTAAATCCGGACTCATCTTTGAGACCTGCTTATGGCAGTGGAGCAGATAACTGGGGCAGGACCTGCTATTGATGGGTTCCCATGACCCTGCTGTCCCCTTGAGGAGCCTGCAGTGCTGCAGGACTTGGGCAGGAAGTGCTTCTGGTTATTCCAGAGACTGAGGAGCCCTGGAGACTCCTCCTGGTGAATTTGCCATGAAAGCAGTCAGCTGAGTAGGAATGCAAATCTCCTCTATCAGTTCTTACTCTGTGTAGCTGCTGAAATAATCTTTCACTGGGATTTCCTTCAGAGTTCTCTCTGAAGGGGGAAGAGAAACTATCTTGGCCTTGGTCTTTGTCCCCCCAACCCTCCCAGCTGTTGTCAAGGCTAGGTTAGTAGATTTTGGGGAGACCTGGCCCATATTTCAATGTAGGTGTCAAAGGCAACTCTCAATAGTGACTATCAGAACTGAATTATCAGGCCTTCATTTGTGCCATCACTAAGGGAAAATATTGCCCTTATGTTGACCTGCTGCATTCTAGATATTGTAATTTATCGTAATTTCTCCTCCAACTGCAGACAAGTGTTCAATGAGAAAATTATGGGCTTTCTCCTTCAAGAAAAGCAAATAGGACTGGAACAATTGGGAGCAGACACATTAAAGAATGTTTCATGACAAGTTTATTTATAAACTTATAAATAAAATCCCTCTCTGAATTCTTTATGAAGTTTCCAAATAGCTAAAATAGTGGGTGTTATTATTGGAGCAGAACAAATGCAATAAATTATTGTTGTAGTTGGCCTATCCATGATGTAAACTCTGAGATAACATAAATATGAGTGTGGTTACACTGGGCATCATTGAGCTATGTAGAGAAATCCTATCTGCAGAATGAAATAAAAATCTAAAAATGTAGATTGGGGGTTCTGATTTTTGTAAGTTGCTATTATTGTACCTGGTGCTGCTCAGGAGGTTAAGAAGTTACTTCTCTTGCTTTCATTACATTCAAGGACAAGCTCAGCACCCTCATCTGTTAAGCATCATAGGACACAAAAATGTGGAAATATGAAGGGAGTGGAGGGTGCTGAAATGCTGAACGCAGCTGATTTAGGGGTTTCTCCAGAATGACCCATCTCCCTTGGCCAGTGGATATTCTTGTTCTGTCAGGGTACAACAAGGAAGATGTGGAAAGGTGCCTTGGAATTTTCAACTGGAAACCTTGAATTTATCTTAGCAGGCAGACAAGAATTTCTCTTATATCATATTCCCAGGCACCCCAATTAGTAATCAAGGTATGACCACTGATGTTCTTCACATAACCAGGAGAGAGAGAGAGCCAAGATTCCCCAAAGGAGAGCTGGAAGCTTCTGAGTTACCATCTTTCTCTGCATCACCTCTGTGGCTGTTTGCCTGTGCTTTGTTTGCAGAATGTGGAGCCCTGAGGCAGGCTGAGCCCTGACCTGCTGCCACTGTCCCTGCCAGGGTCCCTCTGGCCTCAGCTGTGGGTTAAGAGTCACTGCAGAAAGCAGAGAACGAGGCTGGGACCCTTTTACCCTCATCCATCTGTCTTGTAGAGGCTGCCAACTTAGTCCTTATTTTAATACTAATTTAACTGCAAGATGCACTGCAGGTGTAAGGAGATGGAAATGAGAGCTTTGCTTAAATTTCATCTAATTGCTCATCCATCTCCTTACTTTCCTTTTATTTACCAAGCTCCATGTGACACCAGTGCTTTTACATCACCATGTCTTAACCACAGTGAACTTATTATGATTTTCTTCAGGGTAAACAAATATTCTAAAATTTTCAATTAAAAATTACAACTGAAGTCACCCTAACAGTAACCTAATACTTTGTTTTTAAAATTATTTCTTTATTGGGAAGTGCTTCCTGTTGTTTTTCTCAAAGATAAAAAACATGGTTTGGATTCTGTTCTCCAGAATGTTTGAGGCTTTTTGATTAAATTGTAAAATGTGGTCTAGGCTCACAACTGGCCCTCAAATTTGTGTGCAGGGTTTGTTTAGAAAATATCCTCATGGCTCTTTTTCAGGACACAGGTGAGTGATTCTTAGAAAGCAGATGAATTAATATTTCCCAAATAATGGATGTATCATAGTAAATTCCAATTTTTAAAATTGTAGGCTAAGGTGAAGAGGCTAAAAGGATAAATGCAGGGGAAAAAAAACTATGTTAAAATGTTCTTTTCAATGTAGCATTCCACAGATTGATGAAGTGATTTAGGTTGGAAGGGATCTTAAAGTTCCAGCCCTCACAATTTATGCTTAAATACTGTTTTCCAATAAAGAATAATATTGATTATGTACTAGTACGTAGCTGAATGAATTCTGAATTTACTTTCTTATTGACTTTAATGTAAGAACAAGAACAGAATTTTACTGTGTTTTTTATTCAGTATTGAATGCGCTTTGGAGGGGGAGGAAGAATTGTCATTTCTCACCCTAAGCCGTGGTAGCAACTAAAACTTATTCAGGAATGGACCAAGGACTGTAAAACACCTTTTGTCTGCTTAATGGTTTACAGTGCACGAGCACCTTGCTTATTAAAGGCAGTCACATTTTCTTGTTCAATGAAAGTTACAGTAGTAAATACCTTGTGAAATGAAGAGTCAAGGTCAGTGCAGGCCAAACCTTTTTTCCTGTGCTCACACCAAGTGGCTGAAGGCAGTGAAGGCAATCTCTGCCTCTCCTACCAGACTTTATTAAAACATTACAACCTTGGCAGGATCACCTTCTGATGGAACAAGATTAACTGTGTGGCTGCTGCTCTACGATGGGCACGGGCAGGTCTCTGTTGAGGGAAGACTGAACGCTGAGCAGATTTGGAGTGACTTTGAGTGATAAGGATTATTTGAAATAACCAAACTGTTTTCGAAATTGGGGCTCTTAGCCTTTTTCCAATCATTTTACAAAGTGCTTTTTACTTACTCCAGCGAGGATCAGACTTCCCTGGCAGTCAGAGAGGAGAAGGATGGCAGTGTCTGCCTAACGCAATCATAATTGTCTCTGAAGTTGTACTTTGCAAACGCTGCTTCCTTTTATTAAAGAGGAGATTTATCATGCAGAACATACAGGTTTTAGCCTGTCCTGGAGATATGGTATAAAGTTAGGAAATAAGGAAGGCAAACATAATTTTGTCTCCCGTGTGCCGGGTCTTTGAATATTGTAATAGGTTAATTGGATCATGGAAAGGTTGTTTTCTGAAATGCAGTGCGGGTTATAAAGGATAACCGTTTTCCAATGACATGGATGAGGTTTTTTTTTGTGGGCATGAAATTCAATAATGGAAGGCTTTTAATAAATATATAATTTACCGAAGACCAAGACTTACATGACAAATGTAGTGTCATATTTAATTTGGGATGCTAACATGCAGCTAAAAGTGATCTACAGATTAACCATTTGTTTCATACAGAATCAGTACAGCAGGCAGGGGTTTGCTCGTGCAGAATTTGCTGTGAAAGCCACAGATTTCACAGAAGGAGCAGAGGGACAAATAAGAACAATGCCATTTCTTGATCCTGTCCCTTTTTTCAGCCTCAAGAGTTCCATAGAAATATTAAGACTGCAAATAATACTGTTTTGAGCTGCAATCACTCTCTCTAGCTGTCTCCTGGATCTGCAATAGAACAACCCCAAGGTGACCTCTTCCAGCAGCAAGGAGCCTTAGGATGCAATGCTATCAGAGGGAAGAAAAGAAAGCAAAGAAGAGGAGTTTAAGTGAAGAAAAAAGCTTATTTTTCCCTATGAAGAAAGTCCTTTATATATTTCTTCCCACAAATTTGATGATGTTCCTGGTGTCTGAAGGAAGAGGGAGCTTTTTTGCCACACACATTCATTTTTGTGTGGCTCATCCCCTGGACTGATCATTCCCAGTCATTAACACCTGTTTTCCAAATCCTTCTGTCCAAAACCTGGAGATTTCAGCAACAAGTGCAAATGTCCTTGAACACCTCAATGAGAATGGTGCTTGGCTTTTCCTGGGCTGGCAGAAGCTGAGGCCTGCTTGGGCCTGCTTGGGAGGAATGTGTGAATTAATGATAATTATAGATTTCCATTGTTCTTTGGCTATATTTACCTACATTGGGTTGAACCCATGGTTATATCTTCTTTTCTACACTGACATGGCAATCACTCTGTGAATTTAAACTGTTCAGGATATGGTGGCAGTGTAAGGCAGGGACAGGAGAAATTCAGGGTTCAGCTTTCCTTTTCTTGTGGCTCCCCTTACCCTTTTATATCCCCAAATCAGCTTTTCTTTCCTCTTTATTGATTCCAAAAGTGGCTGTTGCCCTCCCTGCCTCCTTACATTTCTCTTCATCCCTCCCTCTCTGCAACCTCTCTCCACATTTGGTGATTCTGTGGCTGAGTGAGGATCAGGACAAGGTGCATGAACACATCTCCCATCTGAAGAAGGTGCATGAACACATCTCCCATCTGAAGAAGACTCCGAAAATATTGATTTGTCTCAAGAATGAATTTCTCTTTTTCAACAACAGACACCAAGCATACCAGAAGGAAACAGGAATTGATTTTCTCCATATCTTGGTGCTGCCCAACACATAATTCCCCATCCTACCTAAAACCTTTCACCAGGGCTTGACAAATGCTGGAGAGTTTGTTACTAAATACTTGCTAACAACCATTAGTTGTTACTAATTAGCTCTGCCTGTGATTAGCTGTAGTCCAAAGGCATCTGTTATTATCCTCCTTGGAGCAATGTGGGTATGGCTTCTCGTGAAGCTTATACATTAATAATGGTCTCTTATATCCAATAGGTCAATTTTGCTTATTTCATTTTTTAATTAGGGATGAGATTTATCTAGACATTACAGTAACCACTTACAACAGTTGATTATCTCAATATGTTTTCTCATTTGTGTTACATATGAACTTCTGACAAAAATAAGTCTTCAAGTCTTGCTTTACATACAGTCTTTGTGACTCACTTGTCTGAGGTATTCAGGATAATAAATCCACTGGTGGTTTGCTGGGAAATGGAAAGATTTAGCTGGGGTTTTTTTTTGTTTTCTGTGTCTGACCTGAAAAAAATAAATATTTTCCTGCCAGTGCAGCGTAGAGAGTCAGATAAGAAATCTTTTTATTTCACTCTTATGACACCTCAAACATTTGTTTCCTTTCCAGGCTTTGGAGAGACATTGACTGAATTCATGCTTTTGCTTTCTCTCTACTGTTCTTGGCTCTCTGTTCTATTTCTCTGAAATTTTAAAGAAAAACTCCAACCATTTTTCAAACTTTTTTATCTTTTTAATTTTTCAGGGGCCAAAAGACAAGAAATAGCCTTAATGAATGGGCTGACTGTTAACTTGCACCTTCAGATGGTATGTCTTTATGATGAATATTTGATCTTGTGTTGACAAGTATTTTTCTCCTTTCTTTGTGTGTGTATAAGCAAAGTGTTTTCTGAGGACCTCACAGAGACAGCACTGGGTGACAGATTAAGTTTTTAAGCCTTGGGAGTTGTATCTTGAATAATGTATGTGCAAGACCAGGCCTGACTCAATACTAAGCAGGAAAGCTGGACAAAGAAATATTTTCAAGGACTCTGGAGGGGAAGTTTCAGCTTTTCTCACGTGTGTTGTATGTCAGTTGCCAGGGGAAATCTTATTATTTAAGAAACATTTACAAGTAGCTTCTCAAATTTCAATTCCACGGCCAATTTCAAAGTTAAGGAAACAGGAGCTCAACAAGCTTGTGAGCAAGACAAAGCTGTAATATCAGTCAAGCTTAAAATGCAGCTGCATACAAGAGATGACACTTAGAATTATGCTATTTTATATGTGCCTAAAATGTGCATTTTTGACTTGCATGGCATAATGACCATAAGTGTGTTCTTATTTATGCTCAGGTGTCCTTGTGTCTGCATAGAGCCTGTCTCTGGTTCGCCAGTATTTCCAAAGACTTGGTTCCACTGAGTGTAAATGTGAAACTCCCCTTTGAGTGGTTCTCACAACAAGGTTTATCACTTGGATCTAGACCTTTTTAAATTTATCTGCTCCTCTGCACCTTTTAAAATGAATGAACGTGGAGCAGGGTAGGTTCAGTACAGTCAATTCAGGTGGCGACTCTGCCCTGAATTAAATGTGAATTTCTGGACTACACAGACCATGCAGAGGGTTGTGTAACCCAAGCTAGATTGAGCAGGAGGGCTTGTAAGTCTTCATTGTCCTCCTGGCACAGTGGCCAGCCCAGCTTGCCAGGACCTGAGAAGAAAAGATCACCCACCTGCAGGTGCTGAGATCAGGTCTTTGGTCGACCTTGTTTTGGAGTAAGGAATGATTCCATAACTAAAGTTTAAGGGCAGAGATGTAAATCTAATTCTTTTTCACTGCCTGCTACTCTTCAGCTGCTGCTTTTGATTGCTGGATGGAGCTGGGTGAAATCCCAGCTTGCCTGGCTGCAGTCAAAGCTTTGCCATTGATTCCTGTAAGTGCAAGTTTTCACTGCTGGGTTTTGGTGGCTTTGTTATGGATATGTGAAATTCAGTATTATAACACTTTCCTGCTTTGATAAATGTTATATGGACAAAAAAATATTTGTAATTTCTTGGGGATTCTATGTAGGTCTGCATGACAGTAAAGCAGTCTTTATTAAGTTATATGCTGGGAGCATCTTTCTCATCTCTGCTTAGATAAATTTCAATATTTCTTTCTTTTTTTTTCCCCCCTTAACAGCTATCTTTCTTTAAGCCTACTCCAAGACGCTATAAAATTCTTCTAGAAGCAAGAGCTTTTCCATCTGACCATGTAAGAAATTAATATTTCACCATATTTGTATTATTAATCATATTTTTCCAAAGAATATCGGTAGTACGATTTGAATATTTATTAGCTCATCTTGTCCAAGTAAGATTACAATAAAAAAATCTGTCAGAAACTTTTCAGCTCAGCATACTTTACAGATCATAGCTTTATTCCTTTTGTTCAAATAAGAAGTGTTTCATGAGGAAAAGAATGAATGGGTGCATTGATTTATTAGTCTTTTTAAAGACATCGAGCAAACTACTGGCCTAAATCAACTAAAGTTGTAAATGTTTTATTAATTCTTGTTGCTGTTTTACTTTATGAAACCAAATCAATACAAACTCACAACATTAACACTTATATATCCCCAGACAGAGATGGAAATGTTTGTTCTTAGCACTTTAGATTACTAGTTCAAACATAATTTGTCTGCTGTAAAATAAGAGACAATAGCCTGTGCATCAGAGCTTTGAGCAAATTAATCTTTGGGTTTGTGGGGCACTGCTACTTTATCATCAGCACCGTAAACTTCTGGAAATTTATAACAAATTTGATCTCTGAGGTGCAATAAAAGTGACTGGAGCTACTAACAGGTTTATTTGTAATGAAGATGCTGGCACAGATGTATACACCTCAAATTGCTTTTATTCTAAGTAATGTTCAGATTAATCCCACATTTGTTCCACATGCACTTGTACATTCACACTCCATCCTCTTAAATTTCTATGGCACTTCAGTAATAATTTCTGCAACTATCATTGCTTTAGTTCCTGTCGTGAAATTTTAAATCTCTTTTATATTGTTATTTGATGATTGTTATTTGATCTCCAGGACCATTATTTATCAATAAAATCGGCAGACAGAATTTTTTAAATAGCTTGAGAGTTTAAAGCTCTTATTTCCCTCCAGCTGAGCAGCAAATAGAAGAGGTGAGAATGTCACAGGGCAGGATGTCTGTGCTGGCCAAACCTCGTTTGTGTTGGCAGCAGGGCATGTGGGTACCCAGGGCTCCTGGAGAAGGGATGCTCAGTCCTCCTTGGCTGTGATCCCTGCAGGCTTGGCTTTCTGGTCCCTGGTGAAGTGCATCCATCCCACCACAGCCCCATGGAATGGTTTAGGTTGGAAAGGTCTTCAAGTTCATGTTCCCACCCCCCTGCCATGGGCAGGGATGCCACCCACTGGATGGGTTGCTCAGGGCCCTATCTCCACTCTCATCCTGCTCCATGGATTTATCCTGTGGGATTCAGGCTTTGACTTTGTCCTTGCAAAGGAATTAAATTAATTCTCACAAGAATTAAATTCAGATCTTTTTTTAATCCAAAGGAAATCTGCGAATTTCTCAGTGGAGTTGGATTATACTTTCAAGCATTACTTTTAGTGAAAGGCAAGGCATCTGAACAGCTTTCTCAAGTTCTGATGTGTTTGTCCTTTTTTTCCTTGTAGTTGTTTTTCATGTGTTTGAGTTAATGCTGTCTGCATGGAATTCTCTTCCAGTATGCTGTGGAGTCCCAGCTCCGACTGCATGGGCTGGATGTGGGGAGGAGCATGGTCCTGCTGCAGCCAAGGCAGGTTGGTGAGGAGCCTGTCACTTCTGCTTGCTGCCAAGGGCAGAAACACCTTTCATGTGAATATTCTCAAATATTCTAGTGTAGAAGTTGCAATCTGTGCATTAAAATGTAGATAAACTTTATGAATCATAAACAGATGTCTTTCCGTGCATATTTTTGACATTAGACCCCATTTTATAATTGCTGATTCAATAGTTAACTTTCCCAGAAGAACAACAAAAGCAACACAAAAGCCATTCTCTCTATTTTTCCTGTTTCCAAAAAAAACTAGCAGCATCCTGAGTCACCTGCAAAATATGCTTTTGACTCATTGAGAATTCCCAGTGTCCTTTGAACGTCCTGAGGTAAGAGATTGCCATAGCACGAGCAGCACTGTGTCTGCATCAGCACGGGCTGAGGGAAAGGTCTGCTCTCAGTAATATGCAATTCAGATTAATTTGAAATGCTGCCTCGCTTCACTTCTGCAGCATTAAGAACTTTGTCACCCAACTATAAACCCAGGGTGACCTTTTGCTTCTGAAATCTGAGTCATCTTGTGAGTAAAGAGCCCACTCCTGAACGCTTGATAGATTTGCAGAGATTGTTGAGATAATAACAGTCCCTTGCAATTCAACCATCTTGCCCAAGCTTTTTTCAGTAACAAGTCTAATTTAATTCTAGGTTTTCACAGCCTAATTGATCCCTAGGTGGTGGTATGTTTTACAAGATCCCTTGCTAGGAAGACAGGAGGAGGATGGGGCAGTAATTTTCCTGTAAAGAATCAAAAATGAGGTTGATTTTTTTTTTCTTGTGGTTGAAGTTCTTCTATATTTAATGACCACAGGTTTGGGGATTTTTGTACTTTTGATGATGTGAGACATTGTTTTTGAAATATGAATATGTCAGGTTTATAATAGCTTCCTGTGGGATACCAAGTTTATCAGAAAAGTAAAGAGTGAAGCTGATAGACAACTTTCAAATCTTGTGGGTGTCACAAATTTCAGATGCCACTTAAAAATCATTCGATATTCTGTTTGCACCAGGAATTTTTGACTGTAAATTAAAACTGTCAGAAATACTAAAGGGTATGAAGCATGTTAGAGCATGAAGTGAATAGACATTTTATAACAAGCACCTCCAAGCTTCACTTGCTAATGATTATTTTTTTGAGGTTACTTGCTCGTAGGCTACTTCACAGCACTACCTTTGTATATCATTACCAAGACAAAGGTTTGCTTTTGATCTCCTTTCATGGTAAAATATAGATTATGAAATAAGGAATGGCGATGGCATTACTGCCAGAGTTGATGTAAAATGTGTCCTTTAATATTTTTTTTAGGGGGAGGAGACCTTGAGGACTGAAGATATCCTGTCTGTTATTGAGAAGGAAGGGGACTCTATTGCTGTCATTCTGTTCAGTGGGGTGCAGTACTACACAGGACAGTTGTTTGACATCCCTAGAATAACAAGGGCTGGCCAAAAAAAGGTAGGACTGCTCCAGATGTGTCCTTTTCATGCTAATTTTAGATCAGTTTTCTCTGTGAAATCAGTTGTTCTGGTTTTTTGGGGTTTTTTTTGGTTTTTTTTTTTTTTGTTTGTTTTTTTTTTGGTTTTTTTTGTTTCCTTGTGGAACAAACCACAGAAATTTGTAGGTCTCTGGTAAAATGTAAAAGCACTCTGTGCCCAGATCTTTGGGGGACTGTGTGCTCCATGAAGAAATAGCCCTGTGGGAGCAATCTTTCAGGCAGATGAATGTTAAACTCTTTGGAAAAGGTAATTCATGACTATTGGCTTTGACATGGCTTTTCTTCAAGGGTAGAATACCAACAGCCTCAGTGAAGGAGGAGGAGGAGGCAATCACAGCTCTCACCTGTCTTTGAAATTTAGTTTGTGTAAGATTTCTGAGCTTTTTCTGAACTTTTTCAACATGAGCCTTTTATGATTTTCCTCCTTTCCTGTAGCTGTGTTATGGCAGATTTTGCTCCCCCCAGAGCAGGGGGGTGAGATCCCCACGGAGCCAGCAGTGCTCAGACTCCACTGATGAGTTTTCTGGAGACAGGCACAATGTGGAGCACATCAACATCACAAGACAAGTGTATTTTAGTGATGACTCAGCCTTCAGAGCTTGCAGGCAGTGTGTTCTGTGGACATAGCTGTAAAACTCTTTAACCATCTCAATTGCCCTAGGAATCCAGGAGAAAATAGTTTTTAATTAAGTTGTCTTATCAACAGGAGGTCACCAGACTTTCCATGCTGGCAGCCTTTTACTGGATGCAGCTTATCTCATACAAGATTAAACCACTGAAGGGTAAACTTATTTGGTATCACTGGGTTTTTGGCAGACCAGCTAACTCTTTATCTTTAATGGTTTAACTCACTGGAGAGGTTCCTACCTCACAGCACACTATACATCTAGGTTTGGCAGTGGAATTTTTTCTGGACGTCAGGGCGTAAGTTATGCTGATGGCAAGAGATGGAAAAGTCCCCTCTGGGAGAGCAGAGCAGGTGTGAGAGCTGGTGCAGGGCCCGTGGGATGTAAAAAGGGAATGTTCTCACAGAGCAGCACCTGGTGTTAAAACCCAGCGTTAAAAACAGCACAAAACAAAACCAACTTCTGACAGGGATGTAGAAAAGCAGGGTGAATAGAAATGTGGGGAGTCAGCTGCAGGGGAAGTGGGTTTGTGCAAGAGCTCCAAAAGCAACTCTGTCATGGTGCTTTCCTGGAGTGTCTGCCAGCACTTTGCTGACCACAGAAAATCACAATTCCACTGTGCTGGAACGCTAGAAAGGGAAGACAGGTTATTAACAGGATGGTGCCACCCACTGCTCTACTCTCTCTCTCTCCTGGTGGCAGCAGAGCTGCCAACACCTACACGTCTCCAGTGCTGCTTCCCAGAAAGCCGCTCCGTGGTGTGTCTGAAAGGTGTCTGAGAAAGAGACAGAGAAATCTTCCTTCCTTTCCATAAAGATGAACAACCTGGGAAAAAAAACCCATTGCTTTATCACCTCTCCAAAGATGCTCTCTGGACTGTGGGCTGCAGACTTGGATATGTGGAAGAGATGCGGTTTCACGGATAGCTCTAAACTGCCCCAAAGTGGTGTTCTGGGAGAGAGTAGTCACTCACAGCTTATTACAGAGAGGGAAAATTGGTTCATGTTTATAAAATCTGAGGAGATAACCAGGACTTGATGGAGAAAGATTAAAATTTCTGCAAGGCAGTGCAAGTAATAATAATAATATTAACCCAGGTGTTAATAATAATAATAATATTAACCTCATGGGCTTCCACAGGCATGCACACAAAACCATCACACACTTTACCCAGAGACTGTATCATGTTCCTGAAGAGCAGAGCAATTTGTGACAGCAATTCAGCATTCCAGCAAGAACAGGTAGATGTCAAAGGCCTGTTTCCATCTGAATGCCTGTTAGAAATGACATAATGTAGACATTAATCTCTTCTTCCCCAGGTTTTTCAAAAGAGAGAAAAAAAACCCCATCAAATTGAATTTCTAGTGGTTCGAGTGTGCAGGATTGAGATCCAGGTAGATTAATGAAGTAAAATATCATTAGTATACTGAAAAAGCAAAATTAATTCAACCTGAAGAACTGTTTGAGTACCCTTAAGGCTTGAAAAGCATGAGTCAGCCGTGTTTTTATTTCCCTCCTGTCAGATACACTCAGCTCAGTGTCCTTACAGACTCTGCCCACAGGTTAAGTGATGTTTATATGTTTACACAAACCCTCCATGTAAGAAACTGTTACACCACACTTCAACGTCTGCGTATGACAAATATTTACATGAACAGCCACAAAACCGTTGATTCATGAAGTGTTTCTGTTGGTAAGAAGCATTTCTGCTCCCTGCTGCTTATCTTGGACACAAGGCTCCTGGTTATCAAAATGCTTGAAATGTGGGGGTTTCAAAAGAGTTGGCTCCTCTCATCTTTTCCCAGATCAGAGCTGGGGTTAGGAGCTGCTGTTGGATTAGAGGAAAACAAAAACAGCTGCTGAAGCAGAGTCATTAGTGTCTGTGTATCTACACATGGCTTTAATTGGACTTACCAGATCTCTTTCAAGAGCTTCTGGACCTGATGAATCCAGAATTGTCTTCTAGTCAACATATTGTCACAGATAGGCTGAAAGTTCTTTTATAAGCAGATAAGACTGAAAAAGTCATGTTTGTAGCAAAAATGCAAGGCTCTCCTTCCCAGGAATGAAGGGTGGTGGGTGACCCTGCACTCCTGAACAGAAAATAGGTTGGGGAGAACTGACAAGCAAACGAGTCAGAAGGGGAAAATACAAGGTGAAAATGCTATTTGAGAAGAAGAGAGGGAAAAAAAATCACTTGTCAGCCAGTATGTCAGAGAGAAAAGTCCTACACAGATGTTCTTAATAATTCTTTTAATGTACTGTCAAAATAAAGTCCCACAGTGTTGTGCCCTATCAGGGCTTGGCTAGAGATTTGAGCTGTGAGCTCTGGAGGCCTGGAAAATGTCCTAGGATTCTTGAGGTCAATCATTTATGAATTAAGTTACTGATTTCCTTTTACATTTTTTAAGCCAATTTCCTAAGTTCTCTGCGTACATTAAGATTCCTCCCAGAGTGAAAGCTCTGCACATAGACAGCTTCATTAAGTCATTAAATATTAAATGAACTAAATTAAGCTTGAAAAATTACCTCAGGCTATTTTTCCATCTAAGGTCTCTCAGATAAATCGAAATTACTACGTATTGTGCAAGAGACTCATCAGTAGGCTGAGGAGGATGTAACAGTTTTCCTTGTTTCATACTTTCAAGCTTGCTCTAGAGGATGGAGGAGGCTGAGTTGTTTTATTCTTCTACAAGTGAAGAAATGGCTGACTTTTAGGAGGCTCTACCTTTCAAATACAATTTTAATTTCATAAGTTATATCGTACTTTCCACTGACTCTGAACTGTTATGTAAAATATTTTAATCTCTTGAGTCCCAGTAGGAAGAGCTTTAAGATCCTTCATCTTCATTTCTTTTCCTGTCTCTCTTTCTAAATGTCCCAGCTTTGCTGGCGTGAAGCTGTCATTTCTCTCCCTCTCTCCAAATGTCATTGTCCATGCTGAGTTGTTACCTGCTGGTTATCAGCAGCTACCCAGACACTTGGCAGAAATGACTTTTAGATGTTAGAATAAAACAGAAGAGGCAGGGGAGAGCACATGTCCTCTCCTTTGCCCAGAGCAGATGGAGAGCTCTGTTTTCCCCCCAGTCTGGGGAAGCGCCGTTCCCACGCAGTCCTGGTTCTGCGTGGCTTGTGCAGGGAGAGCTGCTCCAGTTTGTTTTACTTTTTCCATGCAATCTGTGTGGCTAAACATTTGCTGTTTGTGTGACTCAAGTGCCAGACACCTCCCTGGGAAAGCAAACCAGCACACCCCATCTTGCAGATGACGACTCCAACAAACTGGTGCGAGTGGGCGTTTCTGAGACGATGCAGGAACCCTGCCAGCACTGAACCCGAGTTTCCCATGCCTCGGTATTGTTAAACACTGCCCAGCAGGATCTGCCAACATGTTTCAAAGTGGTGGGGAGCAGCTAAAGGAGTTCAGGAGGATGGGTGACCCCATTGGTGTCATGTCAATAACCTTTCTTTTTGTTCAAGCTGATCTGTTGCAGCCACAGATGGAAAAGTGCCCAAGAACCTTTGTCCATTTCAAAGTCCCATGTGTGGAGGTGGTTATGGAGCCTCATTACTGTGAGGGCATCCAATTGTCCCAAGCTATCTCCTCCTACCTCCCATCTACTGTATTTTCATAATTCAATATTATGTGTTTGAACATAATTTTTTATATAGTATACTGCATAGTGACAGGGAAAGGACAGCTGGTTTTGGCACATGATTTATAGAATTAAATTTCTTACATGCTTTTTCTTTGTGAGCAAATTCCTTTTTTTTTTTTTTTGTTTGTTTATTTCAATTTTGTCAATGTACAGACAGATACATGCATTCTGCAAGAGTCTCATCTGTTATTCCTGGTTTCCACTGAAACCAGTGCATCTGTCATAGAATTGCTTCCAAAAGTTTGTGTGGGATGTACATACCTGTTAAGGTTTAAATCCAGTCAACTGAAGTTTTGAAGTTAATGCCTTAAAACCTTATGACAACCTCCTTATTCACTGGCAATTGGCTTGAGTTTTCTGAAGCTTTTTTCTCTGATCCAAAGCCATTTTATCCCTGGATGAGAGCATTCCCATAGGAATTCAGCATGTCCCAGCCTCTCTGCTTTAGCTTCAGCATTTCAGTTGATTTCTCTTACCTCAGTTCTCTGTGTCCCTGTGAAATCAAGCCACCATGGCTATTTATTGGGACTCTAGTTCCAACATTTAGATCATGCAAATGCTATGGGAGTGAGTTTTCTTTCCATCGTTTTGGAATAATTTTTCAAGCTGATAACTTCACAAATGTCTCTATTAGAATTTACGTGTCACATCTTCTTTAAATGATGCTCTGAACAAATTGTTATCTAGTTTATACAGAAGATTAAATATACCAAAGTACTGCTTAAATAATTTAGCTAAGATTCCCTCCATGCAAGAAACAGCAGGAGATTCTTAAAAAAACCCTTTGTTTTATTATTGGACGTTGATATTTCTGAAGCCTGTGCTCTCACTCTTATTCCTACCCTGCTGCTTGCAAGCAAGCTGTTTGTGTTTTAAAAGCAAAATGTAAAATAGCATTTAATTTGTAGTCCAGGCACAAAAAGCAGTTTTATTTCTCTGCTCTTAAATAAATAGCAAAGATTGAAATAACTTTTTAGTTTAAAAATGCTGCCATCCAGTGGTTATTTCATGTGTAAAACTCATACTTTTAGATCTAGAAATCTCTCAGTACTTAGATATTGGGTTCCCCCCACTTTTTCTCAGTGTCATGTGTAAATTATGCTTATGGAAAATACAAGATTTTTAACAGAGAAATGGCAGATTCCTTCTTTTTAGGGACAAATATAAAAGTTCTTAAAGACCAAGGCATTGAATAAGCTGCTATCTCATCCATTTGGATTCCCAAAGAGCAAGGTCCTTCTCATTTAAATACCAGGGAGACCTTGAGCATGAATATATATATTGGAATGTAATTTTTCATGGGTAACTGGCATCATTATGACCATTACTGCTTTGTCTCTGCCTGGGGTTTGTTGTGCCATACATGATGTGTTTGTATTTATACATTTGTTCTCAGTACTTGTTTCAAGTGATTCCAGTTCCCTGAACAATCAAAACCTCAGAAATCTAAACCCTATCCAAGCATCCTTGAAGAAAAATCACAGAAAAATTGGTGATTTCTACGTGCATCTGTGGCATAGAAAACTTGTTTCTAGTAATCACTGAGAACAGATGGTACTTGATAGATTAATCATAGAAGGGTTTGGGTTGGAAGGGACCTTAAGAATTGGCCTGTCCCAACCCCCCTGCCATGGGCAGGGACACCTTCCACTATCCCAGGTTGCTCCAAGCCCCATCCAGCCTGGCCTTGAACACTCCCAGGAATGAGGCAGCCACACTTTCTCTGAGTAACTTGTTCCAGTGTCTCACTACCCTCACAGAAAAATATTTCTTCCTAGCATCTAACCTAAATCTCTCCTCTCTGAGTTTAAATCCATTCACACTTATCCTATCACTCTCTGCTTCTGTAAAAAGTCTCTAGGTAGCCTACATACTGAGAGCAAGTTAAGCTCTGAAGGAGTTATTTTCAAAATAATCCCAGTGATGATTATCTTAATAAGTAACCCAGTAATCATCTCTTTCCTGCAGGGATGCCTTGTTGGATTCGACCTGGCTCACGCTGTTGGGAATGTGGAGCTTCATTTGCATGACTGGGGAGTAGATTTTGCCTGCTGGTGCTCCTACAAGGTAAAACAGATCCATTGTTGGAGGCTGCTTTCCCTAATGTCACTCACCTCATGGGTCAGCACACGGGTCAGGTGAATAAGAGCTGCACCTGAGCAGCTGAGCAAGACTTGGCTGAATCTCTGAATTCGCCACAACAAAGAGATGGACACTGACTTTAATGGTGTCTCTGTTATGAGGGGGTCCAAAAAGTGGCAATGATCTACAAGGCCTTGTGGATGTGAAGTGGATACTGGTGGTGGTGGTTAAACATCTGCCCTGTGGACATAGAATCAGAGGCTCTTCTCTTATTTCTCACATCAAGAAGGTCTCACAGGTATAATATTTTATGAAGTGGTCCCCAGATAATAGAATATTCTTGTCTAAACTTTAATAATTTCAGATCACAGAGCGAGGTATCTTTAGTTCCTTTGACTCCTAGTGAGAATAAGACACGTCAGACATAGTCAGATGAATTGTTTGATGACTTTGCTATGTATATATATTATATATATATATAGCAAATGTATATGGAACTGTTTCAGATGTACTTCAATTTTCTGGCCTCTTAGACTTCAAACACCATATGTAAGCCAAGAGAGATACTTTTAAATCTAATCTGAAAAAAATATATCTGCTTTTACCTCCATCAGCACTTTGTGACAAATGCTAAGATCTCCATCTAGAAACCGCTAGAAATGTTAAAATTGGTTTGTTTTATAGATCAGGGTGAGGGAAGGAAAGTGATACTTTACAGATAATGAGCACGACATGTACATGTTGATTTATTCTTTGCAGTATTTAAATTCTGGAGCAGGAGGCCTTGCTGGTGCCTACATTCATGAAAAGCATTCCAAGAGTATTAAACCAGCGTAAGTACTTTTCTAATAATAAATTCCCAAATAAAAGGTGCTGTGAAGTTTAAATGGGAAGGAACCTTCCCTTTCAGAATTGAGATCTGAAAGTGAAGTTGTGTTGATTTTTAGCCATAGAATATGGGTATGTGCATCTATGCATATATTTATAGAAATAGAAGAAAATTCCTATTTCAATAAAAACTCATCGGGTTAATATTTGTTACTGGTTTATTGCTTCAATGAAAAGGGTAGTAAACCTTTAGACAATTTGGTTATCTAACTTTGTTACTTCAGATGGGTTGCTTTACACTAACTATGGTAAATTTTGAAATTGCTAATGCACATGCTCACATCTAAAATGCATTTCCTCCTTTGAGTCTGGTATCAGTTCTTAACTAAATAGAACCATAAAAGAGAGTGTTGGCAATATTAAAAACAAGCATCCTAAATCATGTCTATGAGGCTGCTTAATATAAAGAGAATATTTAACATCTGCCTTTAAAAATGGATTTTAAATAACCATTGAAGTCTTTGGTTGGTGAACAAAATCAAAGACAGTTTCGACACTGTGCCTAATAGCTCTTTAGTAGTGGCATGTTTTCATTAAAATTATATCCACTGGTAAAGCTAGGAAGTATTACATGGAGATCTGTTCTGAAAGACTGTATAATCCATGGAAAGCTGAGCTATCAGCTGAGGTTAGCTGCATTAACAAAAATACCTGTTATTTAAGCCATTTTATGGCTATACTCTGTATGTTAAGAACAGTGCCATAAATACTTTTAATGCACTGACAAATGTAAACATTTCTGCCTGTAATGCTTGGAGAAATTGCTGGCACTTCCTTTTATTTTAGCTTGAAGAACGCAAACTAAATCAGGTTCCAGAGACAAATAATATTATAATAGGCAGCTTTGCTGCACTGTGTGCTGGTTTCAGACTGTCTAGACTCCCAGGAGATAACAAAATAATGCTGATAAGTTCTTTTCAGTCACCCATAACAGAAAACTCATTAGGATGACATATGACCTGTTGTGAGCTGATTCCAACCTTATATGTGAGCATGGGCAAAACTTACTGGATGTCTGGATATTCCTTCTGGAAAGGCTTTTTCCTGCTCCCCTGTTGCCAGGTGCAGGCATTGCTCCCATGGCCACACCTGGTTGTGTGGCTCCCATGGATCCTGGTTGTGGGGAACTGGGAAGAGGCTGAACAGTGGAAAAAAATGTGAAAAATTACAGAATAGCTATAGGTGGAATTAATTAAATATCAAGGACCTTCAGTCTTTTTTCCTCCTTGATGACATTTTGGAACTTTTCTGAGGGTACTAGCTTGGTATTGTAGGTAAGAGTTTAGATTAGTTTTCCCTGAACCAGCTCCTTCATACATAGTCATTAATTTGTGCACTGAATCTGGATACTGAATATCTTAAATGAAATTACCTATATGGAATAGGCTTTTCCAGCCTGGGGACAAATTACAGATATAATTCCAAACTTCCTGCATCGACCCTCTGCATTATTTAATCATAGTTATTTCATATTTCCCGAGATTTGATAATCACTTATCAAATTGTTTGTAGTTCCTATGCCCCCGTTGCATTACTTTTCTTTCTTTCCTGCAGCAACCAGCCATTTCAGGTCTCCAAATAAAGCACTGAGACAAAGGAGAATTTGTCTATGTCAAAGTATTCAATTGTATAGCTGATTTAAATGCAGAGCAATTTGCTGTATGTTGTACAATCAAATAGAGTGGAATTTAACTGCTCGGGAAGTTGCAGGCTCTGCGCTGCAGCTGCAGAGTTTCTGGCTGTCATCTGAATCAAGGATGACACCCAGTGGCCACACAACTTCAGTCAAGAACAGAGGCACCAGCCCCTCGTTTCTTTGCACCTCAGCCCATGCATGAACAGGGAATTAAATTCCAATCCAGCTGACGCCCTTTTGTCGTGTGAGCTGCCTGAAATACTGTCCTAACTCATGGCTGGTTTTTTTGGGTTTTTTTTATTGGTTTTTACTCACCTATATAAATTTTTCTAATTCATCTCATCCTTCATATTTCCTGCAAGCTATCGACTAGGTAGTTATTTTAATATGGAAATAATCTATTGTGTCTTAATGGGAAAATGTGTGTTCTGAGTGTAATTCAGAGAGGCAGAACATTTGTCTTGTACTGTCTGAGGCTGGGGCAAAAAGGACTTATTCTAAAATTTCATTTTTAGATCCCCCAAACCCAGCTACAGCACATCACCAAAGGAATTTAGGTATTTTAGTTTAACTTCTAATTTTGTGGGTATGCTTTGTTTTATGCCCAGTTTAAGAAACTGGGTTTGTTCCTCTCCAGCTGCTCCCTCCAACAACAAAACATTTATTTGCAGCTTTCTTTTAAAACGTAACTTGGGATAGAATTGTTAAGTATTTGATAGCCTTACCATCACTACATGAGCCAGAGCTGTTTTTGGCTCTTGGGCTGCCTCGCTGCAAACCTCCACAAGCCAGACCTGATGTAAGTCAGCAATACCTTGACATGTCCCAGCAGACAAAAGGCAAACCAGTCCCACTCTTCTTCATGGAAGTGCAAGCTTCCCACAAGCGTTATAAAGTTGGGAATTCAGTATCTGGGGAAAGGATTTGTGTCTGAGGGCAGGGCTTGACCTTTAGATCAGGTGGAAGCTGAGGGTGATAGAGTCTCCTGTGTCCTGCTGCTGCTTTGTTTCATTGCAAACACCACCCTGCACTCCTGAAAAACACCTTGGCTTAGCTTGGGGTGGTTCTCTTAACTCACTGCAGGGGCCACGGCTCTAAAAGTGACATGTTGTAACCAGCCCAATTAACATCTCCACCCAAGCATGTGGGGTAGTGCTTTGCTAGTCCCCATTTTGTCCTTAAGGCAGCAAAACTGAATCAATCTGACATATATGGGTCTGATCTATCCCCATTCTCCCATGATCTCACCTCCTTTGAAGTCTCTCTTAATACTCAAATAGCTTTTTTAATACCTGCTCTATATATCACAATGCAATATATTCCTGGCTAATTGTGTGAGAGTGATTTCTTTATGGGAGGGTTTCAAATAAAAAGAAAAGGACCTGGAGAGAGCAGAGCTATGAAATACTACTGAAACCATCAGGTCAATGCAGGCTGAGCCTGTGCTTCCAGGTTTCCATGTAAGAGTTTCAGAGGGGAGGTTTCCAACACACAGAGAGCACTGAAGTGACCTACTAATACTGAAATTTTGCTTGTCTAGCTGTTTGAGCTCCAGAAAAGTTCCCATTTTAATTTTTGAAATTTTTTGCTCTCTCCCTAACTCTCCATTTATAAGAAGGATAACTTGAATTCCCAAGCAATTTAGATGTAATGAAATGTGAATGTTTGTGAGCACCTGGGGGAGAAGATGCTTCAGTCAGGTGTTCCCATCAGGGTGTTTGCAGCTGTAGATGGGCAGCAGGCTCAGCTCTGCTGCCAAGAGGTGAAAGGGACAGGAAGAATCAAATTTGCAGAGCCCTGAGACAGTAAACTAAGTAAAAGTAAGGCACAATTTAAACAGATGAAAGGGAAATAAATGTATGTAAGGCAGTCAGAAAAATAATAGATAAACCCTTGCAGAGGATTAAATAAATGAAAACTGTACAGTGTTTAAAATGAAGGGATTTATCAAGACTTTAGCCCACACTAGCAGCAGGTAGTGTTTAAAAGTGAAAAGTTTCTGTGATGTGAAGAAATGCTGCATGTGCAGGAAGCAGTTGATGTCCAAAGATTTGTTGGCTTTTACCATAGGATAAAAAAAAAAGTTTAAAAGAGCAAGAAGCAAAAAGGTAACGATTTCATATTACCTTTGAGGAACAAAAGGCATCTTCAGGCAATTTCTTCACAGACAGAGGTGAGATATCAGTTCTTTTTCTTATACTACTTCCCCTTTTGGTATTTTGATGCCAATGAAAATGCCAGAGCACAAATAGCTTCCTGCTACTTCTTTATAGAGAGCTGCACAGCTTTTTTGGGATGTGAACTCTAACCCTGGTGTCAGATAAATAGAAATATGTTACTCCAGCTCCTTCTACTTTCCCCTTCCCATTTTCCCCAGGTGCTCTGGATCCCCATCCTTCTCCAGTGCAAACCTTCTCTCTCCAGTAACTGTTGTGCAGGAGGTTACTCTGCACCTTCTAGGACTGGTAGCTCCCGCTGAGTTTTTCTTTGCTCATTTTCTTGATTTATGAGGACACATCACATTAGTCTTTTTTTGAATTAGAGTCACATAATCCCCAAAATAAAGAGCTGAATCTTCTGTAAGACTGCTGGAAATAATGTAACTCTGGAAGAACGTGAGTTGGAAGCCAAGGACAGTCATAAAAGGACTTGGAAGGTTGTTTTACCGTACTGGAAAGTACTAATGCTGATCTTTGGAATGTTTTTGGGAATCATGGGATTATAGAATGATTTTGTTTGGGAGGGACCTTAAAGTTCATCTCATTCCACCCCCTGCCATGGCAGGGACACCTTCCACCATCCCAGGTTGTTCCAAGCCCCATCCAAACAGGCCTTGGACATTTCCACAGCTTCTCTGGGCACCCTGTGCCAGGGCCTCAGCACCCTCACAGGGAAGAATTTCTTCACTCAGACTGAGTCTTCTACTCAGACTTTACTCACATAATAGGCCGAGGTGGTCCATTTCTCGCTGGCCTATTTAATTTTTCTCCTCTGAGCATCTCAGAACTACTTGAAGCTTTATCAGAAGAGAGCGCCTTGTCCTGGTCAAGGAGAGGATCTGGAGAAGCAGCGCAGAGACTCGTAGGGAAGCTGTGCTGAGTGCAGCCAGGTGGGGAAGTCAGTGGTGACAGATGGCAGGGAACATGCTGCTGCTTCCAAAGGGTTCTCCCTGCTCCTGCTGGACTCGGACTGTGGGCTGATGTAAATAAACTACTCGTGCAGCGAGCACGCGTCCCCCGAGTGCATGAAGCATCCTGTGCTAAGGTAGAAATGAACTGTTGCTTTGCCAAGGAGATGAGAGCAATTTAG